ATATATATATATATATATATATATATATACACACACACATATATATATATATATATATATATATATATATATATATATATATATATATATATATATATATATATATATATATATATATATATGTGTGTGTGTGTGTGTGTGAAAAATTTCTATTCTAAATTGTAATGAATGAATGACTGAATGAATGAATGAATAAATGAACGAACGAACGATTGAATGATTGAACAAACGAACAGACGAATGAATGAATGAATACAAAATAACACCAAAAATTGAAATTATGCGAAAAATAGGCATCATACATAATACAAAAAAGCATCTTATCATCATTATTATTATTATTCTTAATGTCATTATCATTACCAGCATCAATATAATTGCTATTTATAGAATTCATCATTAATCGTCATCGTTATCGTCTTTATTATACATCATCGTTATTAGTTTAGTCATTAATTCATTCATTAATTCATTCATTAATTCATTCAGTTATTCACTCATTAATTCATTCACTTATCCATTCATTAATTCATTCATTCATTCATTCATTCATTCATTCATTCATTCATTCATTCATTCATTCATTCATTCATCCATTCATTCATTCATTCATTCATTCATTCATTCATTCATTCATTCATTCATTCATTCATTCATTCATTCATTCATTCATTCATTCATTCATTCAGTTATCTATTTATTTATTTTAAGAGCGGATGCGTCGACAAGTTTGAGGAGTGCAGTCGTACTCGCGATGCCGACCGTGTTAACGGCAGTGCACGTGTACTCGCCTTCGTCCTTGGCCGTCACGTTTGACACCTTTTGATTGGTCAGTTGGTTGGTTGGTTGGGTGATTGGTTGGTTGGTTGGGTAATTGGTTGGTTGGTTGGGTGATTGGTTAGTTGGTTGGTTGGGTGATTGGTCAGTTGGTTGGTTGGGTGATTGGTCAGTTGGTTGGTTGGTCAGTTGGTTGGTTGGTTGGGCAGTTGGTTGGGTAATTGGTCAGTTGGTTGGGTGATTGGTTAGTTGGTTGGTTGGTCAGTCAGTTGGTTGGGTGATTGGTCATTTGGTTGGTCGGTCAGTTGGTTGGTTGGGTGATTGGTCGGTCATTTGGTTGATAGAAGGATTGGTTGGATGGTGGTTGGTTGAGTGATTAATTGAGGTTAAACTTTGCATAGAAATTAATAGAGATGTACCGAATTTGACCGAAAGCCTGATAGCCGTATAAATGATCCACTATTAAGCCGTAGCCAAAGGCTATATACCTAAAATATACTACTTTGAATTTATGAAAATAATTATGACGATAAAATTGATCTAAATAATATAAAATATACTACTTTGAATTTTATATTATATACCTAGAATATACTACTTTGAATTTTATATTATATACCTAGAATATACTACTTTGAATTTTATATTATATACCTAGAATATACTACTTTGAATTTTTTTTCACTTTTTAGATTGTAAAAAGAAGCAATAGGTTTAAACATATTTTGGAATGATCGGCCTTTAAAAACGTCTGAATAACTCAAAACCAAAGCAAGCCGAATATCAATTTCGGTGCATCCCTAGTGATTAAGATAATAATACTCTTGTAAATAGTGAATTAAATAAAAATAAAAATAATAAAATCAATGAAAATAATTATGACGATAAAATTGATCTAAATAATATTTCAAATTAAAACCGGACCTCCAACCGCGCCAGTCCATCGTCGAAGAACGTGATGACGTATCTGTTAGTCCTGTTTTTCAGACGATCGTGCCCGGGGCCTGACCACGTGACCTGGTGATGACGATGATGATGATTCAGGTGACGACGATGATGATGATTGCAATGATTATTATGATTGTGATGATGACGACGACGATGATGATGATGATGATTGTGATGAGGATGATGTTCGTTATGATGATGATGATGTTTGTGATGATGATGATGATTGCAATGGCGATGATGATTGTGATGATGACAATGATGTTTGTGATGATGATTGTGATGATGACGATGTAAATGATGATGATACCTTGGGTCTAGGAAATCCACCGATACGACAAATAAAGATAACACTCTCCCCTTTAGCAGTTTTTACATTTCTCAACGGCTGGGTTACTGTGGGCGGAGTCTGAATGAATGTCAAGGTCGTTCGTCAAAGACGTTTTTTCAAGGACGCTTAAATCATCAACATCAACATCACCACCATAAGGTCATCGTCATAATTGTCATCATCGTCATCACTACCGTCGGCATTATAATGCAATATTAGAATTATAGAATTATCGTTGACTGGCATACTTCAACTTTCTGTTTTCATACATTTCTTTACCGTAAAAAATTTGATTTTAGCGCAAAAATTTTCATCAATCTCATTGAATAAACATACAAACATACACAAACAAACACACAGACGAATAAACACACAAACACAAGCAAAAACATACACACAGACACAAACAAACAGACACGAACTTGAAACAGCTCGTCAGGCAATGCTGGTTCTTGGTCCTTACTGTGCAAACGGCCACAACTGTTCACCAGTTCGTTCGTTCGTTCGTGCGTTCATTGTCAATATTATTTACATTTGCCAACTTATAATTAATAATAGTAGTAGTAATAATAATAATTATTATTATCTTATTATTCATGACTATAAATAAAATACAGACACAACACAACAGCAACAACAACAATAATAATAACCTCGTGTTTGCATATATGTTGTCGGATTTTGGCCTGTCCTAAAAATAATAATAATAATAACAATAACAATAATAAAAATAATAATAACAAATCACTACCTTGATCATGAACTCACTACTACCGGCTGCTCTGTCCGACGAATCATTTCTTCTCTGCTGCAGCAGCAGTTGTTGCTTCTGCAGCTGCTGTTGCTGCAGCTGCTGCTGTTGTAAGCAGGCCTGCGGGGTGATTTTTTGCGGTCCGACCATGCTTTGAGGTTGGGGTAACTGTTGGAGGACCTTGTCCGTACAAGACGGGGGTCTAGGGTCGCCTTTTTTACGTTTGTGGAGGTAGGTGTCGCCGTAGTAGTAGTCTGGGTCGTCGAAGTTGCAACTGTTGCTGCTGTAGTAATAACTACTGTAGTCGTTATTATCGTTGTTGTTGAGTTGTTTGTTTTTGTGGTGGTGTTGAAGTTGTTGTGTTGTTGCTGACGTTTGTGGAAGTTGTTGTTGCGGTTGTGTTGATGTTGTTGCTGATGGTGGTGGTGGAAATGTTGATGGCATTGATGTGCAAGATGATGAAAATAGCGTTAATGTCGTCGGTTTAATGGATGGTGATGTTGATGTCAACGATGTTGTTGTTGTTGATTGTTTGCTTGTTGGCGATGGTGAAGTTGTTGTTGTTGGGAAATGCATTAACGTTGTAGTTAATGTTGTTGTTGTTGTTGTTTGTTTTAATGGTGCTATTTCCGGCTGTAAACAGGCGAAATTATTATCTGCTTTCTTTGGTTCATTTTCAATGCGATTTATATGCAGCGCTTCATAAGTCTCTTCCTGGTGTTGTTGATGTTGTTGTTGAAGTTGTTGTTGTTTTTGTTGTCGTGTAACATCGTCATTAAACGACTGAATATTTGTTGTTTCTTGTGGAATTGTACATTTTAGTGACGTTGTTGTTGTTGTTGGAAAAATATTGTTAGCACTTGCTAAAGTTGTTGTTGTTGTTGAACATCCAGTTTTGTTGCTACTGCTTGCATTAACAATATTGTTGTTATTTGATGTAATTTTAATGTTGACTGTTGATGTTTTTGTTGATGTTGTTGATGCTGGTTGAGAGACAGTTTGAACAAATGCTGTAGCCGTTGCAGCCGCGTTCATAACTGCAGTCGAGATGTTGTCAAATATTTTAGGAGTTGCGTCAGATTTGTTGTTGGAAGTATTGTTGTTTGGACTGTTAGAGGCAGGTAGTGTCTTAGATTTGTTGTTGTTGTTGGTGGTGATGGTACTGTTGTTTTTGATTGTAGATGTTGCTATGGGTGTCAAAGACGTTGTTTGGTTTTGAGAGCTTGTTGTATTTGTTGACGATTTTATTGAAGTTAATGAAGTTATCAATGATTTTGTTGTTGTTGTTGTTGAAGATGTTGTTGTTGTTGTTGCAGCAGCAGTTCTACATTTGAGATCTTCTTGACTCTGCGATTTGAAATTGATGAAAGTGCATTTAAGTCCGCCTAGAAAAGTCTTTTTGATGTTCTTCGGTGATTCCGATTTGCATCTACTATCGTCGGCTTCAATCACTACGTTGCTGTTCCCGATGTTGTTGTTGTTGTTGTTGTTACTGCCGCCACTGCTGCTGCTGCTGTTGTTGTTGTTGTTGCTTGAATTGTTGATGAGAGATTGCAGCAGAGTGGTCTGGGCAGCAGATGAAGTTTCATCTTTACTCAGCTTAACCTGGACGAGGTAAGAAAGAGAGAGAGAGAGAGTAAGAAAAAAACCCAAACTAAAAAATTTCCAACTGGCGATAGGTTAAGATTATTTAGGAATTAAAGTTGGCAGTTATATAAACAAAAAGAAAAAATTTGCAATGACAAAAAATGCGTTGAAATGCGTTTGAATTTGTCAGAGTGTGCCTTGTTAGAATCGGAAACACTCACACATAAATAAAAATTTATACATTAACTCGATCAAATGAACATTGAGAAACATATACACGCAAAAATACAAACACGTATATTCAAGTTTATAAAAATAAAGAAATTAATTTAAAATAAATTAATTTCACACAAAAATTGGCTGAAAAAAATCTAATGGAAAAAAAATACTTTTAAAGTTTTAATGGCAGGATTTGAACTGGTTCTATGGTGTTTGTTAGGTTGTAACAGGTCGGTCGGCGATTTCGGTTGCGAGTGCGTTTTTCTGAGTATGTGATTTAAACCGGAAATAGTTGTTGACGCGTCGCCGGAAGTGGATGCATTTTCGGAAGAACCGTTCTTGCCGGAAGTGACATCATGTTTGTGTTTGTGTTTTTTACTGCGCTGTTGAGATTGTTGTTGTAAAGATATGGAAGACGATGATTGTTGTTGGTGCTGTTGTTGCTGCGGTTGTTGTTGTGGTGGTTGTGGTTGATGGCAGCTAGCATCAGATTCAACACTTGGGAACAAAAATTTAATTACAAAATTATCTCATATATTATTTTTGGTAATACTCAAGTATTAATTCAAATTGTCGCGCTAACTAATGATGTAACCAAAGATACGAGAAATGTTTGTTGAAATAATAATTTACTGTTCTTTGGTAGAATGATGATGATGTTGTTGTTGTTGCTTCTGTTCTTGGACTTTTTGATATTCAATCGGCGAAACCAGAGCTGATGATGATGTTGGTGATGATGATGGTGATGATAACGATGATGTTGGTGATGTTGATGATAGTGATGAAAATAATGAAAAAATACATCGGAGGTAATTTGGATTTAAAAAATGACGTCATTATCGCCCACTTTTCATTCTTCCTCATTAACATTCCTTGCGCTACATTAATTTGCCTTTCAACACCAACAATCATCATCATCATCATTATCATCATCGTCACCATCATCATTATCATCATCATCATCGTCACCATCATCATTATCATCATCGTCATCGTCGTCATCATTATCATCATCATCATCATCATCATGCCAGACCTTTCAGAAAGTCTCCCTGTATATCGAGAAGGTTCCTCAAAATAGTTATCCAATTATTGGTTAACTCGGTACTCGAGGAATGACAAACGAGTCTCAAGTCGGATCCCGGGCTTTTGTTGATCAGTGTGAATGTTATCGGATCTTCGGTACGGTTTTCTTCCATCGCCATTCGGTTTATCTACGAATGGATAGATTGATTTGTTGGATCGATCGATTGATTGGTCGATCGATTCATTGATTGACCAATTACGATTTATGAGAGCTTTTAAAAATAAATAACCAATTTAAAAACTCATAAACTAAACTCAATCAACCAGCCAACCAACCAGCCAACCAGCCAACCAGCCAGCCAACCAACCAACCAACCAACCAACCAACCAACCAACCAACCAACCAACCAACCAACCAACCAACCAACCAACCAACCAACCAACCAACCATGATACTATGCTTAAAAATGTAGCCAGGGTTAGATAGATTATTCCTCTTCTTCTCGATCTCATCACTGAATATGATGATCTGCTCGAAGAGAAACACGCGCCTTCGTCTAAATTGATTGCCTGATTTGTCTGTCATCTAGATGAATGAATGAATGAATGAATGGATGGATGGTGGATGGATGAATGAATGAGTGAATGAATGAATGAATGAATGAATGAGTGAATGAATGAATGAGTGAATGAATGAATGAGTGAATGAATGAATTAAAGTTGATATGAAACTACGAATATTATGGCGACAAAATAGAACATAAAAAATAAGAAAAAGTAATAGAAATATTTTTGTTACCAGGAGCGTTATTAAAACAAATAAATAATAATTGATCAACGATTCACCTTTGAACCAGTTTGACCTTTGTTCGTTTCCATAACCTGAAGGTCATCTTGCATTAGTAGCATGCCTTGCGCAGTTATTTTTCCCTGTTTCCCGTGATGATGATGATGATAATAATAATAATAATAACAATATTAATAATAATAACAATACATTTGAGTTAGTGATAGGCGAGGCTCTGTTTGCAGTCGAACATGGTCAGTGCGGAAGTTAGGTACGTGCAAGCGATGTGTTTTACCCAGTGAGCCACCAAAAAGGTTGCAATAATTAATTAAAATTGAAAGCAGACCTCAAAGCCCTGTAATCTGCCGACGTTCATCATATCATTGGCTGCCTTTGGAATAACCTTCATCACTTCCAGAGCCTTCTCAAGGTCACATGTGTCTTCTTTGGCTTTGGCACTATATTTCAGGATATCCTGATCGAATGAATGAATGAATGAATGAGTGAATGAGTGAGTGAGTGAGTGAGTGAGTGAGTGAGTGAGTGAGTGAGTGAGTGAGTGAGTGAGTGAGTGAGTGAGTGAGTGAGTAAATGAATGAATGAATAAATAAATAATTGACTGATCGGACTGACTAAATGAATGAATGAATGAACAAACAAGCAAAAAACAAAAGAAACAAATGAAAGACTTAATAAAAATGAATAAAAAAATAAATGAATAATAAATAAAAGAATGAAATGATAGATGGAATGAAAGAATGTTGAAAGATTTTTCAGACAACATGATTAATTACTTTTCACTTTCAAACAATTGGATGAATAAATAATAATAAAATAATAATAATAATAATAATAAAAATAACAATAAAACAGTATAAATATAAACAAAATAGAATACGTCACAGACCTTAAGCAGAAGTTGGTACTTCATAATTCTCTGCACAGGTTTGATAAGTAGGTCAGGCAGCTGAAGACGGTGACCTAATTTCTGACGTAATTCCTATTTTTGGACGAAGGAATGAATGAATGAGTGAATAAGTGAATGAATGAATGAACAAATGAATGAGCGAATGAATGAATTACAAAAATATGAGTAAATGAACGATGAACAAACTTATACAAATTAAAAAATCATGGAGTCGATATTTTGTAAT